CATCAATTCGATAAAAATTCACACAAGCTATGAAAATTTAGGCACCAAGCAATTATCCATGAATTCGACAAGAATTCACACAAGCTACAAGAATTTAAGCATTAAGTAATTGTCCATCAATTTCATAAAAATTCACTCAAGCTATGAGAATTTAAGGACTAAGCATTTATCCATCAATTCAGCAAGAATTAACACAAGTTATGAAAAATTAAGCACTAAGCATTTATCCATCAATTTGGTAAGAATTCACATATGCTCTCCTAGCAACATACCTCATCTTTTTTTTTTTTTTTTTAAGAAATATGGATGGTACCCTAATAGTTATATTCATAGAAAATGATGAAAAACACAAAAATGGATAAACTAGCCTAGCCTAATAGCTTGGGAAGACAAGAAAGCCTAACCCTTGAAACCTACTAGGAAGTATCCTTTCTAAATACACGAGCAAATTGTTTAAAAAGAAAGGGCTCTTCCATTAAAAGATACATGAGAAAGTTAATGTTGTTGAAAGTTATGTAGGCCTAATTTGTCATCCGATATGGCAATTCGCAAGAAGTAGGTAAGTCGGCGGGGTTAGAGACTACCCTATGAGAAGGATGTTGAGAAGCCCAATCTGTTAGTCAATCCGTAATCATGTTGCCTTCTCTATATGTATGATGAAGGATAATGTTTGAATAATAAATTTCCTACACTCATTTATTATATAAAATAAATTCCAAGGATAAGACTCGATAAAGGAAAGGCAACCTACCACCAAAATTGAGTCTACCTCTACTATATCCACTGGAAGAGCTAGATTACTACGGATTTTCAAACCATCTAAGCAAAGACAATGCTTTCCCTTTAGATTTAGTCTCATGTCCGGAGTAATAAAAGAAAGCCATAATCATTGTACACTTATCATCCCTTAGAATTCCTCTCCCACAGCATGTGTTATTCTTGAAAAAGCCATCCGTATTAAGCTTGTATTTTCCCTCCGAAGGATATTTCCATCTAATGCATCCTCTACTCATTACTTGGTTGATGAACCATCGGTACCTAAGAAAAAAGACATAGTTTATCATGGAAGCATAAACTAGAGCATAGATGAAATAACGAAGATAGCTCATACATTTATTTACCGACCTTGATTCTAAAAGCTTACTCATTCATGTTTTCCTACTCAAAAACTAATTTATTTCTTGCAAGTCATAGTTCCCAAAGAATATAGTTAAAGGTTATCATTCCTATAAATTATTTTTAATTATAAGGCTTACCTTTGATCGGCCATCTCCTTGCCAACTATCTCACATCATTAAATCTCGTTACTATATCCGAGTAATTTTCCAAAAAAGTTCCATAATGCATTAGCCATATCCCCATGCAGAAATAAGTGATCCATTATTTCTTCCTTTGGTAGCCTATATTAATGATAGTTTGAAGCCAATATAATACCACAGTGTCTTGATGTTTTGCTTTATAGCTATTGTGTTATGGAAGACTATCCAAACAATTATACCAATCTTCCTAGGGATCCAAGGGGTCCAAAGGCTTTACCACCATTCAAATTTTCTATCCTTGACTCGTCTTTCTTCATGGTAAGCTTTGGAGGTAAACTCCCCGAATTAGTTCCAGTATATATCTTCTTATCTAGTTCATTGTCTTGGAAATATATAGCATCTAATTTAGTCCATATCAACCGAGGAAGGGACATATAGATGGATTTTTTTTTGTTTTGCCTAAGTTACCATGATGCTCCAATCTCTCGAAGGCTAGGGGAAATCTATAATTGACTATTGGTCTTGCTATAAACCGATGTCACCAGCTCTCATTCTCCATATGGAATGATCTAGCATATAACAAATATGGGGAAATAATATTTTCCAAACCAATAAGCTTTTCCGAGTTGTTGAGTTGCATGGACTTGTATGGCTCCCCTTATTTAGCCTCATAAAGTAGCTCCATATAAATGAACTAGTTAATAATGACCAAGCTAACTTATGTTTCATTGAATTCAAAACTTCCTAAAGGTTTTTTATCCCCAATCCGCCTTCTTATATCATTAATGATATAGGCTTCGACTAGTCTAGTGATGTCCGTTATCTTTTTCATTCTAACATACCTCATCATGCTTATGAAAATTAAAGGAAAATCATTCAAAGCAAGGCATTAATCAATTGTCCATCGGTTCAATAAGAATTCACCCAAAACACAACAATTCAAAAGGGTTGTTCTCAATCCCTAATCGGTGGAACCGATACATACTAGGTCATGTGATTTAGGTAAGAGTTCACTTACTTGAAAAAGTTAGAGACGAAGGAAAACAATTAAAGATCCCTTAAGAACTTCATTTTTCTCCTTGTCCTAGCTCTCGCCAATTACCCAAAGCTTCTTCCCTCTCAAATGGATTTCTCTCAAGCTCTCTCTCTCTGTCTCTCCCTCCATATGTTTTATCTTTACAACAAAAAAAGTGGCAAAACCTTGGCCAAAGCGAACTTCCATTTGTTTATAATGTTAAGCCATGCATAAACAAATGGCCAAAAATCCTAAGAGGTGACACCACTCTAGCCAAATCATCCATGCAAGCTTAGATTAATGACACTTAACTTTCCACTAATCTTAAGGCAAATTAACTCCCTCTCACTTGTTTAATCGGCTCAATCAAACCCTTTGATTAAGCATGAATCACTTTAGGATTTCCATGGGATCACATACAAGCAATACACATAATATTAAAGGCAAAAAAATATAGCATTCGGCAAAAAATCATACAAAAAGACATGAAAATTATCAAATAAAATCACAAGTCACGACTTGATTGTTTTCATCAATATAAACCGACATGTCATGATGTAGCTATTTTCAACGAACACAAATATAGGCATAAAATATCATGCCAATCACACACACACACACACACACACACACACACACACACACACACACACACATACACACACTCTAGTGGTCTCAATTGTTACAAGGTCATCTTTTGATATACCGATTATGTTGAGACTTAAACTAGCTATGATGTTGAATTGGTGAGACTCTCAAAGACGGGGTCCAATGATTGATTCAATATGTTGCCACAAACAATAATAAAAAATTAATTTATCTTAGATAATAAACTTGAAATTTTAACTTGAGAAATAATTTGGGAAAATAGAAATTTATAGGAGATAAATTTTTAGGATTAAATCGGACATGATACCTTTTCTTGGAAATGGTGCTTTTGAGTGATCGATGTCTTTCTACGAGCATAACCAATTCCTTACCCTGAATCTTTAGACCAATGCCTTTTTTAGGTTTTCTAGTTTCTTTAATACTAGGTGGCTACTCCCAAATGTGATTTAACTCACATCCCTAGTAAATAAATAAATTAAACAATTTTTAATACAATATATTTGGAAGTCTCCTAAATGTCGAGCGACGAACATATGTCTTACAAAATCGAGTGATTTGTCACGTCCATTAAAATTAGAGTGGTCTTTCATGTCTTGTAAAATTAGAATGGCCTCGCCATTCTAAGTTAGAGAGGTCTATCATGTCTTGCCAAATCAATGAGGTTTGTCATGTCATTCTAAGTCCAGGTAGTGTATCACATCTTTGAAAATTAGAATAATTTGTCACGTCTTATAAAATTAAAATAGTCTATCACGTCTTGTAAAATTAGAGTGGTCTATCTTATCTAATAAAATTTGAATGGTCTATCACATCTTATAAAAAGAAAGCATTCTATCATATTTTATTTTTTAAAAAAAAAAACTTGATCCGTCACATCCTTTTAAACTAATATGGTCTATCTCATCCTTCTAAGTTATAGTTGTCATCATGTCTTGTAACAAAGAAATATGGTTTGTCACATCTTTCTAAATCAATATGGTCTACCACGTCCTTCTAAGTTAAAGTGGTTTGTCACATCTTTTTAAAAACAATTGGCCTGTCATGTCTTGCAAAATTAGAGTGATATGTCATGTCTTGCAAATTCAAAGTGGTCTATCATGTTTTACCAAATCGAGTGGTCTATCATATCTTATAAAATCACTAGGATCCGTCACATCTTGCAAAATCGTAGTAGTCTATCCCATCTTATAAAATCGAATGGTCTATCACATCTTTCTAATCCATGTGAACTATCACCATCATAGTCTTACATGTCTATTGCTTTTATTTCAACTTTTCTTAGTCAAATGGTCAACTATCATTTGAATTTGATGATTATTTTTATTGTTTGCTCGTTATTTGTGCTACTTGTTTCCTTTTTATTCTTTTGTTTCTTTACAATGATTTCTATACATGGTTTAAGTATAATCTTTCAATAACGTCATAACGAATGCATTGTAAAGAGAGGGAAATAGTTAGCATTCATTTTTTCACCCTTATTATTTTATTCTTAGTCTTTGACAAAAGGGGTAAAAAACAAATACCAAATATAAAGCCGAAGAGAAAAGCAATCAATTAAAATAAGTTGCTCAAATTAATTTTGGAGATATAATTAAAAGAAATAGGAAGTTTGAGAACCAAAAGAAGCTCAATTAAGGGTATAATTAAAAAGCCCAAAATCCCAAAATTATACATAAATTCATAAATTAGGAGGAATCAAGAACCAAAATTAACTTTTACCTAAAAAGACATAATTTCAACCAATAAAAACCTCGCTCTCTCTCTTTCTCTCCCCTCTCCCCCTCCACATCCACTATTCATTTTCTTCCCAACCATTTAGCAACCACCATCTCCTTTATCTAGTTGAATTTTTTAGCCTCCTTTATCACCCAATATCACTTCTTTCCACCTCCTTAACACCATCACTCCTTCACCATCCAAACCACCATCATCCATTATAGCCATTATTCATCATCTCCCTTAAAACATGATAGCCAATATTCATCCTCTAATGTAGTTGAAACTTAGCTCTCCCATACAAGTCTCCTTTTTCATTTTTTCTCTTGGCTCAACCGCCATACTTCCACTATCATTTGACCGAACCATCACCTCCAACAAAGTCTACCACCATAAAGTTTCTAGTCAAAAGCTTCACCACCACTAAGCTTATCCACATCCTTCATCTTCTTCTTCCCTCTCGGTTATAACAATGCCAAAATATCTCCTACTTATTTCTTATTTACGAGTTGCAACTCCTCTTATATACAAGCAAGATGAACCAACTCCTCCTTCATATAAGCCAAACCTCCTCCTCTATCTTCTTCCTCCCTCTCAACCTCCTCTATCTTCAACCTCTTTTATCTTCTTCCTCCCTCTCAAATATAACATCATCAACATAGCCCTTATCCATTTTTAAGAGTTAGAGCCCATCTACCTCTACACGTGCATATTAACCGACCTTTCTCTTTTTAGCCAAAACTATCCTCTCTATTGAAGTTGAAACCTTTCTCTCCATTTCAGATCGAAACTACTATCCTTTCCTCCATTTTTGAGGTTGAAACTTACACATGTTCTTTTAATAGACTAAGTATGTATTTTTTTAAAAATCTTCTATGTCCTAGAAAGCCTCTTTCATTGTCAAATTTCTATCTATGATCAAGTGAGACCCATACCAATTTATAGTCTAAAAAGGGATATTATTATTCTTAATCACCCATCAATTATTGTTTCTTAAAAACTCAAAATATTTTTCACTGATCACCAAATGGGAGAAGCTATCCATCTTATAGAAATTGTGAATTCTCCATATTTAGCTTTTGTAAATGTAGCCCATAAGCTACTTCCTTATATATGTGACTAAGCTAACTTTGTTCGAAGGCCCTTCATCTCCCGTTTCAAGCTATAGATACCCAAGGCCCCCTCTCTCAATGGTCGGTAAACAATCTCCTAAGAAATCCATTGATGTCGTGACTCCTCGGCTGAGCTCAATAAAAATCCATCCATAAGTTTCCCCATTCTTCTCTAAATTGATTGTAGGAAGGGACAACAACCAAAGCATGAATTGGAATGCTATTCAAAACTAACTAAATGAGTGTGATCTTTGCACCTAAAAAAAGTAACTTAGACTTCTATCCACTAATTAGTTTGGATAGTTTAAGCTCAAAATCCAAAAAATGGACCTTCCTAATTCTTCCTATAGCTATTGGATTGTCTAAATACTTTATAGAAAACTACAAGTGTGAATAACTAGTCCATGCTTGAATTTGGTCCAAGTCGAGAGTGAGAGAGCCAAGAAAGAGCATAAAACCCACTCTTTGTAATATTCATAAGTTGACTAGACATTGCCTCATAATTGGAATTTAAACCCCAAAATTCAATAGGGATCTTTCTCTCCATTTGCAAAAAAGAACACGTCATCCGCATAGAACAAATGTGAGTCAGGATTATTCATTCCTCTTACTTAAAAAGGCTTAATGAGACCACTCTAGTTAGCTCTCTACAAGTTATGAGATAAAACTTGCCGAACCAAAACAAATATCGGAGGTGAAAAAGGGTCCCCTTGATGCACTCTTCTACTAGACTTGAAGAAGCCAAAACCACATCCTTATTTTGTAACTATAGACCATATGTTGCTTATACAACGATGCAACAAAGCATACCACATCTCATTGAAAACAAATTCCCTCATAAGTGTGTAAGAAAAAAGGTCATTCTACTCAATCATATGCTTTTGACATATCAATTTTAAAGATGAAATTACCACTCTAACCTTTCTATTCAACTCACTTACAATCTTTTGAGCCAAAGAAATCACTATAAGAAATTCGCTAAATAACAATGGATTTTAATAACAAACTTCAAACCGATGCTAAATAATGATTAAATAATACTACATTAGCTTGCATTACATTTGGCGATTGAATAGAAGTAGATTTATGACTAATTATTAGCAATGGATAAATTTTTGTCACTAAATATGATGCTAAAAACTACCGGAGACTTTTGTCAATGGATGGTGGGTGTCGATTCCAATAAAATAAATTAGTCTACTCTCAAAAATGGATTTTGTAAACAGTGGTGAATAGAGTCGTACTCCACGAGGATTGATTAATTATCTTATCTATAAAAAAATAAAAAAATAAATAAAAAAAATGGAATGGGAGTTTTTTTTTTTTTTTGACAAGCTAAAACAAGGTTGCTATAATGGAAATCAAAACAAAGAAGTAATGAAATAAAATCGGAGAGAACAAATTTCCAGTCAAGAGAGATATATTGGTTGTGGTTCAATTCATTTGATCATTGATGGACATATAAATCTTCTCTTGAAAACGAATTGATTTTGATTATTAATAAGCTCTAATAACCAACCCCTCTTTAACAATAGATGATTGAAATAAGCTCTTCAATCACAACTCTTATTAATCAATCAATCCTAAACAAGCTCTTAAGATTTAAATTGATAATAGCAGGAGGAGATAGAAGGGTGATCCATTTTCAATCAACAACACGCTAGCGTGGTTGTTTAAACTGGAACAATTATTTCCTTTACTATGACTTAACAATTCAATTCATTAATCATATTAAATTGCCACATATATTAAAATAATTAAACATATATGAATTTAACACTTCAATTGGCATCAAGTATTCAATCTCAATTAATCAAAACGTCTTCTAATCAATCAAGAAAAATACTTATCTTATGAACACAGTAAAATAATTTATATTCTTATAAAAGATAACTAAATTACAAATATCTCACAATGAATCTTGAACCAAAAACCTTTATATCCTCTTGACTGGAAGGAGAATTTAGCTGCTCATTCTTTTGAGAAAGATGCCACAATTGAAGATGAGCACGCTGTCCAGAATTGCTCCACCCGTTAAATCCCTTCCCAAAGGTTCTCTCCCCCTTTTATAAGGAATCCTCCAAAGACTTCATCACTCAATAAGATGTGTACTCCTTCTGGATAAACACAAAAATTACCTAAATAAGATAGAGGCCGAATTAGGACATAAGAACAAAATCCTATTTTTTCTTAACTTCCATACGCGAGAATTATGCTCAACTTCCAGAATTATGATTTCATCAATGGGCGTAGGCACGCTTTAGAGCAATTGTGTCCTATTAGAACTCTAACAGTTTCACCTTTTCTAACTTGTAGCAAACAACTATCAAAACATCCAATTTCATCTTAAATCAATTTAGCTCGATATTTATCTGCTTTATAAATGTTACATAATTAATTCTCAATAATTAAACATCAATCATTCATAATCATTTGGAGAATAGGTACACTAAATAAAGAGTTTATGCATTATATCAAATTCCCCCACACTAAGTCTTTGCTTGTCCTTAAGCAACATAAATAAACCATCTCATCCACTCTATCTCTGCCATTTGCTTCTTTAAACTTTCTTGAGATATCATGCATTATAAGTTTGAATCAAACCAAGTATCAAAAATATAAGCTTTTCATAGCATAAAATGTATGCACTACTTAAATTTCCCATCAACTCAACAATTTTCAAAAAAGCCTCAACACAGTAATAATTAAATATCCTCACCTTGTTGTCACTCAAATCACACATAAGTATTTAGGGTATTATGAAATCCTCATATCACAACATAATAAGATATCTCCATATGCTTGCTAATGTATCAAATCTCCACCATTGGACATGAACCAATGCAAAAATCAAAAGGTCTTTGAATAGGGTGAAATAGGGCTTAGGTAATGGTATGATTGAAGGAGAATTTAGGCTAAAGGTATCAAAGGGAACAAAAAACTTAATCACATAAAGCTAAATTACCATATTACGGCTTCAAATGACAGGGATTGAAACTTTTAACTACAGGAATAATGGACTCTCCACTTTTTTTCTTTTTTTTGGAACAATGCACTTCCAATATACTTTATGATCTAAAGGATTTTTCTTATCTGAGAACACAAGTTCATTCTTCTTTCAACAATGGAGTCCAAACCTTCCTTCAGCATTTTTTTCTTCGTGTCTTAAGTTTTTTTTTTCCCAAATATCAGAGTTTTACAATTCCATGTGCTTCAATTCAAACAGTGTAGTTCCCTCAAAAGTAAGACTAGCTTTACGTGATCAACTGAACATTCCTTTAATATGGTAAAAGGAGGAGGCTTAAAAAATGCATGGTGTTTAATCAAAGAAGAGGCATAAAGTAAGGCTCAAACTTGGCTAACTAGTGGATCAAAATTTTTCTTTGGGTTGGCTTTTTCAAAGTTTAAAAAGGTTAATCCTAAGTGCCATTATCATATTAATACAAGAATTCAATATATGTAGTCTCAAAATGCATAACCAAGCAAGCTCTAGATTTATCAAACCAATTTGGACATCCCTCAAAAGAAACCATTAGAACAAGGTGTAGTGACTTGTTCATATGGGCTCAAAATCTCACGAGATTATATAACTTGATATTTAAATCTTGTATGCTTAGCAACCAAATCTATTGTCAAAAAGATGAGAAACTTAAATTGGTGAATAGAGTTCAGCTACTGTTACTCATATCATTTTCAAGCTAGCTAATTCGGGCTTACAATATATGATAGCTCAATAACAGTTCAAAAAGAAGCATACGATAGATAATCAAGTTTATCACAAGTCACAAGTCCTACCCTACTTCCAAATCCTATAGCTCCTATAAGTTCAACTCAACCCAAAGAATTAGTATGGTTCAGTTTACAAAGTTTTCCAAAACTACCTCCCCCGCACTTATCACCTACATTGCCCTCAATGTATGGAAATTGAAATGATGCTAAAAACAAAAACAAAAAGTGACAAAATAATCAGGGAATAGAAGGGTTGAGTGAGCTTCCCTAAACTGAGCCTTCAATAGTTGCGAAAAGTTTACATTGGGGTAGATAAGGAAGGCTAAACCCAATATGAGCAAAGTAAGCCATGAAATTATTCTTCATATAGTCCTGTTGCGCTTTCAATTATGCTAGTGAAATTGAGGTATTGGAAGGAGTAGCCTCCTCATCGAATTCTGTAGCAGTTGGTCTACTATGCTTAGAACAAATTATTTGAGGGGCAAGGTCTGGTCCAGGTGGAGCGATACAATAGTGCTTTTCTTTCTCTTTATAGATAACTCTCATCTTGTGTAAACAATCAAAGTCCAAGGGTTCCATCTCATAAGCAATGTGCATGTTAGTCTTATTCATGTCCAAAACACCCAATTTGATAACAATAAAAGTGATAATTGAACCTAAGCATAAATGTCCTCTTTTTTTCTTAGCCATAAAAAGGAATTGCCTACCCAACCAAGCTGTAAGATTGATCTTGATACTATGTTCCATGCAAAACAAGAAGAAGAATTCAGTCTTGCTTAGTCTAAAGGAGTCATCATTGATACCAGAAAAGGACATGGATAAAAAGCAATGAATGTACCATAAATCTGGCGGACGCAGATAAGTAGAACGAGAGGTGCTTGTATGATAAGGTTTGTCATCTGAAAAGAGTAATGGCCAAGATATGGTCAGGTCAAAATTATCTGGGAAGTTGCATGGTGCTCCCTCATATTCAACAGAATGTGCAAATTCAGAGGAAATAAACCCACAAGTCAAATTGAACTCAGTAAAAAAAAAGTATAATTAACACCAAGCATCCTAAAATTAATAACCCTAGGAGTGTCTGTAGTTATATCTTTAGGATAATTGAACTCATAGGTGGCATAAAATTCTCTAGTTAGCTCATAGTATGTGGGATAATGAATAGAAAAATAAGTGTCCCATCCTAAATTCACAACCAAAACCCAATAATGAGCCAAGGGCAGAGTATCAATCACATGATTATCAATATGCTTGTAAGGAACAGTCTTACAGGTCAAAAGAATAGCATACCTTTCTTTGTGCTTTTTCTTTGTGAATTTGGCATTACCACCCATTTGATTTTCTGAAGGGAGAAGCACAGACTTACCTTTGCCCATCTTATTTCTTAATATGGATGGTTCCATTCGTACTTCCACCTTTTTTTCCTGGCCACACTTTTGTAACAAACCATCAAGTTTGTGTGTGGCTGCTAACAGGTGTGGTGGAGAGAGATCCTTACTGGTTGGGTCGTGGAGCAGCAGTGATGACGACGGCGTGGACAACTAGGGTATGGGTTAGAGAGGATAAAAAAAGAAAGGATAAAAAAAAAGCAAAGTAATCGTTCCTCTATTTTTGTTTTACCATGAGCACTGCAAATTACTCCAGGTTCACTAAAAATTTTACCCAGAGATTCCAGATGTCAGAAAGACATCAGAACAGAGATGGAAGAGGCCTATTATATTTCGAAGGTAAGGCATAGGCACGCTGAAGACAATTTGTGTGCCCCTTGGTTTTTAATGGCAATTCTTTACTGGTAAACCCTAGATGCATTCTTCAAATGAAATAGCTACTGCTGCTAAAATATTCCTTCAAACTAAAAATGAATAAAACAAAGAGAAAATAAAAATAAAAATTTTTTTTCACTTTTCATTGTTGTTGTTGGGTTGCCTCCCAATCAGTGCCCTTCTTTAACGTCTTTGGCTAGGCGTAATCATCAATCACTCTTCATATTTTGGAAGTTCGAGAATTATTTCTTCCATGTTGCAAACCCGAAATCCTTCATTATAAGGTTTGAGATGATGTCCATTAACCTCGAAGATTTTATTAGTTGAAATATTCTAGATTTCTACTACACCATGACATAAAACATTAGTAACAACAAATGGACTGACCCAACGAGACCTTAGTTTTCCTAGAAACGAGTTTAAGTCTAGAATGAAATAGGAGAACTTTTTTACCAATGAAAAATGTTTTTTTGAAAATCATTTTATCATGTAAAATCTTTGTTTTCTCTTTGTAAATTCTAAAATTCTCATAAGCATCATTTCGATTTCTTCTAGTTCCTACAACTCGTAATTTTCTATGGTCTTTAGCTTCATCCATCTTCATATTGCACTCGCTTAACTACCCAATAAGCTTTGTGTTCCCATTCCACCGGAAGATGACAAGGCTTACCAAATATCAACCGATATGGAGACATACCTATAAGAGTTTTATATGTCGTGCGGTATGCCCATAAAGCATCATCAAGGAATACACTCCAATCTTTTCTATTTAGGTTGACGAGTCCTTTTAAGTATCGATTTAACCTCCCTATTTGAGACTTCGACTTGACCATTTGTCCGCGAGTGATAGGCGATTGAAATTTTATGATTAAACATATATGAATTTAACACTTCAATTGGCATCAAGTATTCAATCTCAATTAATCAAAACGTCTTCTAATCAATCAAGAAAAATACTTATCTTATGAACACATAAAATAATTGATATTCTTAGAAAAGATAATTAAATTACAAAGATCTAATAATGAATCTTAACCAAAAACCTCTATATCCTCTTGATTGGAAGGAGAATTTAACTCGCTCATTCTTTTGAGAAAGATGCCGAATTAAAGATGAGCACGCCGTCTAGAATTGCTCTACCCGCCGAACGCCATCCCAAAGCTTCTCTCCCCTTTTTATAAAGAATCCTCCAAAGACTTCAAACTCAATAGGATGTATACTCCTTTCGAATAAACACAAAAATCGTCTAAATAAGATAAAGGCCAAATTAGGAGATAAGAACAAAATCTTATTTTTTCTTAACTTTCATGTGCGAGAATTCCGCTCAACTTCCGAATTACAATTTCATCACTCGGGCGTAAGCATGCTTCGTAGCAATTATGTCCTATTGGAACTCTAACAACTTCGCCCTTTCGACTTGTGGCAAACGAGTTGTCAAAACATCCAATTTCATCTTAAATCAATTCAGACTTCGATATTTATCTCGCTTCATAAATGTTATATAACTAATTCTCAATAATTAAACACCAATCATTCATAATCATAGGAGAATAGGTACACTAAATAAAGAGTTTATGCATTATATCAATGGATTAGAGATAGATTAGCTATAAAAAATAGTGATGGGCTATTAATCCCATCGTTAAATTTTTGTTGGCTTTTAGCGATAGCCAATCCTTCACTCAAAGGTTGGTATTTAGTGACAAGAATATTCTCGTTGCTACATGTTGAATTTTTGGGCGACTTTTGAAATACAAAGGCTATGCTAAATGGCGGTATTTAGCAATAAACACTAATGTTTGCCACTAAATAATGATGGATCGGTGATGAGAACGTGCCCATCGCCGATCCGTCGCCCTTTAAATCTAAATAAGTAGCCTCTTCCCTCCCTCATTTTTTCTCTATTTCTATTCCTCCTCAAGCTTTCGGCCTCTCCCAACCCCTCGCATCCCCTACAAAACCCCCCTAATCCACTCCTTATCAATCTACAACAACTTCAAAATCATTTCTTCCAAACAAAAACCCAGCTTTTTCTTCCTTCATTTCGACCAATTTTATCGAATTAGGTCAATTTTTTTATTTTCTTAATTAATTATACTAATTTGTTGTAATTTTTAATTTAATTTTAATATAATTGCTTGATTTATATTTAGGCATATATTTTACTGTTATTTTTTTGATTTATTTGATAAATTGTTAATTTTTGTTATTTTCTTAGGTTAATTTGTTGAATTTTGTTAATTTTTAAGTTAATTGATTAATTAAATATAATTTAAAGTTAATTGTAATTAATTTATTTTATTGATTTTTAGTTAATTAATCAAGTTAATTATATTTAGTTGTTTGAATTAGAATAAATTAGTTAATTAAATGTAAAAATTTTGTTAATTAAGTTAATTTAATTTTTATTTTAAATTTACTTTGGTAAGAATTAGAATTAATTAAGTTAATTTGATTTATATTTAGTTAATTAATTAATTAAGTTAATTATGTTTAATTGGTTGGATTAGAAATTTTTTTAATTAATTGTAATTTTGTTAATTAAATGTAAAAATTTTGTTAATTAAGTTAATTTAATTGTTAATTTAAATTTAATTTTGTTAGAATTAGAATAAATTAATTTAATTTGATTTATGTTTAGTTAATTAATTAATTAGGTTAATTATATTTAATTGCATGGATTAGAATAAATTTTTAATTAATTATAATTTTGTAATTAAATGTAATATTTTTCTTAATTAAGTTAATTTAATTTTATTTTAAATTTAATTAGGCTAGAATTAGAATTAATTAACTTAATTTGATTTATGTTTTGTTAATTTATTAATTGAGTTTTGCACATATTGAGACATCTTACAATTTTAATTTTTTTATTGAGATCCTAAATTTTTTCTATCCAGTTTAAGAGTTCTAATCTTCTCGTTATAGCTATTTTATACCCTAATATGCTACATAAGCACACGTGGTAAGCTCTAGACAATAATAGCTTGCCACATGTCATGGTTGTTAGTGTAGATGCTCAAGATCCAACCATGTATGGATGGGCTTGAGTTAATGTATCATTGCATTATTTATTTTGATAATAATAAATAAGTCATTCCGTTAATTCTTTTATTTACATATTCAGTAGAATTAGATAGAAGTCCCGACGATATGTATTTGCAATAGTGATTAATCAAAAGATGTGAGATAAACACTAATGCACATAAATGATATCATTAAATGTCCTAAGTCGTAGCATTGTCAAGAATGGATATTGACAAATACAGATAGACTTGTAAGTGTTATGCTCATACTATATGATAGCAGTAGGAGCTCCCACACTTATCGGCATGGTGATGCTAAAGTAAGCACTTAGGTAATTTATGTTAAAAGACATGTCGTTGGACTTGACTCGTCATGAGAACCCATTTAGTTTTAGTCTATGGGAATCTCATAGAAGATGGGTACAAATGGTCCTTAGAATTGAAGTCATCATAATTATCTCATCGAAGGACTTATGCACTTGGACACTCATTTCGATGAACCCATTAATGGGTTGTACATGGTCGATTCGTTGGATGCACTAGGAATCTAGTAGAGGTAGGTGTATGACTAATATAGGACATGTCATTCCTTGTACACCAATAGAGCATAGTTAGTTTACTCTAGAGCTAAGACATTTGGGAATCGAAGAAAACCTATGTGATCCTAATCGAACAAGACTAATAACCAAGTTCGAGATCACACTCGTGATAAGATGACATGAGGACTCGAATCTATGGTAATCATGCTCGTGAAAGGTAATAATGGATTAATTAATCCTCCTAGAGAATTATGTAGTCATGATGCCTTGTTATAGGCCAATCTTGATTCATGTATCAAGAGATTAAAGAGGAGTCTTTTATTCTTGATACATTGTCAACATATCTAAAAGCCTATTAAGTCACACGCATAAGTTTAAGTATTCATATAACAAATGAGAAGCAAAGATATTGGAAAAAGTTTCCAATTATAAAAGTTTTCTATTTTGAAAAGAGTTTCCAAAATATAAAGTTTTCTATTTTAGAAATCGGTTTCCTAATTTAGAAGTTAGTTTCAAATTTGGAAATAAAGAACCTAAAAAGAAAGGAGTTTTCTAATTTAGGTTAAAGGGTATTTTGAAAAATTATTTTCTAATGTGGAGCCCACCAAAATAATTTAAGAATATTTATTTGGATAGTCCAAATAAATTAATTGAGCTAAAATAGTTTTGGCCCATTAGATTTAATTAAAAAGCTTAAAGATAATTTTGGTGGAAGGATAAACATCAACCTTATTGGATAAAGTTGAACGTTTTAAAGATAAACATCAATCTTATTGGATAAGGTTGAATGTTTTAAAGATAATAATCAAATAGTCCACATATAAAATAACTCCTCATCCTTGGAGGATAAGGAAACAACAACCTAGAGTCCTTTATGGACTCACAACCGCCACTCTCCTTATCCTCTAAGGAAAAGGAAACTCTCCTATAAATATATATGAGAGAGAGAAAATTCGGCAAACACAAGAAAGAAAAAAGAGAGAAAATTCGACCAAACCTAAAATCA